GATTTTATTTTGGAGGAATGATCTCAGGGAGAGTCATCGAATAAATTTGAAGAGATCCGAGGATAATTAATTATTGTTTTAAAAGTAAGTGTTAGAATTAAAAGTATATGAAAATTAGTATAAAATTTAATTAAAAATAAAAAATTATTTAATAATTAGAAATTGAAAATTATCAAAAATATCTTTAACAGTAAAAATAATATAAAATTATAATGATTAATATTATATAAATAATAATAATAATAATAATTATAATTAGTAAATCCATGTTCTATTATACGTGAAATAGTAAATCATTTCAAGTCGACAGGGAGATGTGAAGTAATTATTGATAATTTGCTCAATAATACTATAAATAAAAAGATATTTCGATATAGATTTTTTTATAATATTTTGAAATTATTTTTTTATTAATTTATAATTTATTTATCACTGAATTTATATATTTTGAGTTTAATAAAAAAATTACACGTATTAAAATGAGGTAAAAAAATTATATCATTATATTATTTTATTTCTGTAAAATATGATATAATTACATTTTGAAATATGTCTTTTTACCTGAAAATCAAATTTTTTTTAACCACAAAAAATTCATTTTTAAAATCAGCATTTTCAATATTGGTTTTAACATAGAAAAAGAAATACAATAATCGATTTTACTTATTTATGTAGTCTGTGATAATCTAAATATTTTGTAAACTTTGTGAGGATATGAAAACAGAGTCCAAGGGGTGTTTTAAGTTAATAGGAACAAACTAAAACAAAAGGGCTTTTCAAACCTCCTGGTCCATTAATTCCAGCACACCACTCTCTCTCTAAGAACTCAGTTCCTCTTTTCTCTGTCTTCTCTCTACAACCTCACCTCCTTCTCTCTTCAATCTCCTTTCACTAAGCCAGTAGTTTTCGTTTTAGGTGGTGCTCAAACGTCCGCGATGTAGAGGGTTTCAAAACCATCCGATCAGTTTTGGATTCTAAGTTGGTAAGTCCCTCCATGCAACCTCCTCTTTACTGTTCTTGAATGGAGACGTATGTTCTTATCGGTTGCATGAGCTTTCTTGCTTTCCCCTTCCATTTCTACTCAGTTCTAGCTCTAAGAGCTGTTTCCATCATCATTTCGGTGGTTATAGGGCATTGTTCGGGTTCTCGCTGTGAGAGGTATCGTTAGGGCATTTCAGTGAGTTGTGCAGTTTTACTCCAAGGTAAGGGGAGCTAGAATACTTCTTTAAATTGCTTGCATGAAGTGTATGTATATTGGATTCTGAATTGGTGCACTGTTTGGAGTTGTATTCTGCATTTTGAGTATGTTGTAATGTATGTGTTGATATGTGAAATCCATGAAACTGTGTTGAGCTGTTTGGAATTGATTCGGATGGGTTTGAATTGCTATAATTAACCAATTGGAAGTGATTTAAGTGTGAAATCTGGTATATTTTTGGTTGGAAAGAAATTTGGAGTTTTGTGGTTTTTAGGTCACTTTGAGAGGAAGTGAGGTAGTGATTTTGGGCATTTGAGGTCTAAAGCGCAACTGGGTTGTTGGGGCAGTCTTAGCCACTGTAATGTGACTTGTTTGAGTCACTAAATTGATCAAACTAGATGCAAAACCGGGGGATTGGGTTTTGGGTCCCTAAGTTGGGGAAAATTGGTGTTTTGGAGTTAAAATTGACTTTTAATCACTTTAGAATGGTAGTAGGAATGTTTAGAATAATTTAGATAAGTTTAATTAAGTATAAAACAAGAATTAAGGTGTTAGAAGTTAGCAAAAATGGTTAGAAATGATCATGTTGGGTTATGTTCGCAATTCTGCAGAATTATGCAGAAAGCTGCAGTTGAGCGTTCGGTCTTAGCGGACGGTCTCAGGTAGCGTTCGGTCTCTCAGGTAGTGTTCAGTCTCTCGAGTAGCATTCAGTCTCTTAAGTAGCGTTCAGTCTCTTAAGTAGCGTTCAGTCACTTAAGTAGCGTTCGTTCTCGAGT